GAAAACACTGTAGGCATTTCAAAGCTCCTGAAACACAGGTAGCTACATGAGAAGTTGTCTCCTTCCCTCCGTTGTGCTGAAATAGCTCTTAAAGTGACATGTACCTCAAGAAGGTGCTCATGTTGGTAAGCACATACTCAGTTTCAAGAATCTCCTTTCCTCTTGCTTTCATCTGTTTTTTTTCTTCTGCCTCACTTCACATACATAAAGTTAGGTCATAGGTAAGAGTCTCTGAAAATCCTGCCTGTGCTTGTATTTTTCAACAGGTTTAGGCTGATACCTGTAAAGACCATAAAACACATCACTAGTCTGTATGGGCATCCGAGGTGTCACACCCAGTTTGAATGGTACTGATTAGAGCTGATACCAGCTAGGAGCTGGGAATCAAGGCAACTCTGCATATTGGTGCTTCTTCCTACACAACATGCTTGAAGGCTCAAATATTACATATATTAATTCAGGATTCCATTTCAGGGATCAAAAACTTCAATGAGTTATACTCACAGTTGCAGTAAAAGCAAATCTACTGTTTTTCTTTTCTGGGGTAACCTAAAACCAAGAACACCAATTTATACGCCTGTTGCCTCTGGAAATTCAGTCTGGGCAAAGACATGCATTGCCAATGCAGAAAAGAGCTAAGTCCTGTCCAACAAGTCCTTAGTGCCAAGTCTATGGCTGTGAAATAAGAGCAAGATTCAGAATTTCAGGTCACAGGTCAGCCACCCCTTCTGACTTTATTACTTTGGTGGGCGCAAGACGCATTCTGTCCCTACATTTTGAAAACAAGAGCAGAGTGATGCAATATCTCACCCAGATCAAGCTGCCACAGGCAATGTGTACTGCAGCCAACTCATTAGCAGTTTGCATAATAATAAAAAAAGTAATCTGTAACTGCAGTATTAGAGTGCTGCATGATAGCATTTACATCCATTGAAAGGGTGCCATGATTTGAAGGGAAGATGCAGGTGGCTTTTTCTCTCCCCTATTGAAAAAGTTGAAAGAATAACTGGCTTTTTTGTTGAGTTAGTTTCCAAGTATCAGGGGAAAAGAGTGATATGTTTGGCTTAAAACATTTTGTGATTTTAACTTATCTTTAAAAACACCTTCTGAAACATAAAGACAGAAACATACTTCCAGATGAAACCCTCCATAAATACTAACACTTAGACATTTCTACTTTGTTTTACTGATTTATTGCAATTGAGAACACTAATCATCGAGTGTTGTTTATTTGCATTTTTGGTCAATTTCTACATTCCACTTTCAATATTACTTTTTTCCTACTCTCAAATGTTGTTCACAATTTGCCAAACTGTCTGTGGAGAGGCTGGAGTGCTAAAGGCAGAGAGCAAATTATCTTTAATTCATCAAAAAATATATTAAAATACTGTCTTATCCAACTCTTCAAGATCAGATTTGCTTTTAAAACACAGATGCCACCAGTTCTTGATTAAATAAAGATCTTACCTTCTTTTGCCCCTGCTGGAGACATGAATTACATCTTCTAAAAGAAAACTAGACAAATGGTTTATTCACATTTTGCTACCATCTCTGTTTTCGTACAAGTGAGGGAATACTGCCGTTATATGCTGCTCTCAAATCTCTTTGCAATAACCATCCAGTCGAAAAATTTAGTGTGTGACCTCTTCTCCTTGGATATCATTGGGAAGACAGGTTGTTTGAAAGTGACCATTGATAGCCCTGAATTATAACAACAAAAACCTCAGAGCACAGCAAGAACTTGCATATTAATACAGAGACAGTCCTCATTCACATCATCATGTGCATTATGTTTGTAGCTGAAGGTGTCTATCCAGCTGAACAACCATCTCACATGGAATAAGCAGCAAGAAGGACGTTAGCTTATGTACTGGCTGTGAACTTGCTGCTAAATTCGGAAGAGCTAAGAAAAACGTATAATTTGCTATTGAGTCTTACAAATTCCGCATAAATCTGTAACACACCTCAAGTCCTACAGACAGGACCCAGAGCTAGGTCAATTCACGTGCCCCAAAGCAGATCTGCGATAAAGAATGAACATAGCTGGAACCTTTGCTGAAGAATGCAGTACTCACACCAACACTAGACCTAAAAGCTCTATTCTAACACAACCAAAAGTCAAGTCTGATCTGTAAGGCAGTCTGTCAAACAACACAGGCAGATAATCGCAATGGTTTCCAGTTTCATATCTCAAAGTTTCCTGCCTGGTCTATTGTCAGTTATCGCACATCAAGGCTTGCCTTTTCAAGAGGCATGGGTAAGAAGCCAAGTAATTCTTCATAGGGTGGGAACATTACACCAACTCTGTCTGTCTTCAGTAACATTTATCTTTCTGAAATCCGATCTCTACTTTAAAAATAAATTAAAAAAAATAATCAGAAAAACAATATACAAAGAAGTGAGTTTGTGTCAGGAAGAACGAGAGCATATAAAAATGGATTTTTTCATGTTCCAGAAAATTGAAAACTTACTTTCTAACAGAAATTCAGTGTTTTGTAGTTTTCAGTGGTACATCCTTGCTAAAGCCACCTATTGATCACTCATATGAGCTAAAAATTGAGTACATATATTTAAGATCCAAATGAAAACCAAAAATACATTAACAGCACACTTGATTAAAAGGTTAAAAAAAGATTTTTTTTCACCCGACTTCCATTTACATTTTTGCATGGCAAAAATAGCAACTCTGAACAAAGCGGAGTATTACTTCTTTTGGAAAGGAAAGCGAGTGAATATGAAGAATCAAAACATGTTCATTCTAACTGATGGGAAGAGCACAAAAAAAGAATAGCCCAAAGCAAATGGCTTTTCCACCGCAGAACAGTTGCTGTCAGTTGACAGCGTTGTCTCTCACCCTGCTTAAAGTTCCAGACCTAAGACTGTGGCATAGAATAGAACTGTGAAACTCTCAGGAATAAAAGCAAGAGTGTTTGACACAAGTTAATGCTGTTCTGAGAACTCACTATGTGACCTCTTGCAGAATACATTAAGGCACATCCCCCATTTTGTATAACAAAATGTATATGACGCATTACACAGATGCCTGATCTCAGAAAAACACTATTGCTCAATTTCACTGACAGATCTGCAAGTGTTGCTCTCCAACATGCACTTAGTTACTACTTCAAGGCAACTGTGATGGAATAGTTGGCTTCAGTTGAATTTAACACCTTTGAAAAAGCCAGTTCTATGTGTTAAAAGTTGGAATTAAAAGCTTGACTGGACAAGGGCGTGCATAATCTAATCTGAAGTCAACGTTGCCCCTGCTTAGAGCAGGAATTTGGACTAGATGACCTGCCAAGATCCTTTCCAATCTGGATGATTCTCCGATATGGCTCTCTTCATATTCATAGAAAATTTAAAAATATAAACCAGGAATTGAATATTTTACCCAAGTTCTTGCAAGTAGTTTAATTCAACATGTTCTTGCACTTGAGAAACTTGAAAAAGCCACTCTGAACTCTATACAACAAAATGTAACACACAAATTGGGATTCCTTTTCACACCTCTTCAGTGAATCACTTCAAAATATTTACAGTGAATTCTCATTTTATTTCATTGCTTCCATTCTATACACTAAATTTGCAATTAACAATATTTCAAAATAAAACCAGTTCCCAAGGTCACTATACTTTCTGTTTCAACACTTACTCATTTAAAATACATGAAGGATAGATTAATAATAGCAAAGTAGACCTGCAAATGATTTAAAGTCAAAACTTATGAACAGCAACACCTTTTCATTATTTTGCCATGACTGCTTTCCATAAGTGATAACTACTATACAATGAGTAATGACTAAAATGCACATTAATTTACAGTAGTCACAAAGATAGACTTGCCACATGAAAGTGTGAAAAACACAGCAGCCTCTCATATACTTTAAAAGCGACTCTCTACATGCTTGTTTCATTTGCAAAAAGATCACCTCCTCCCCAATTTCATCATATTTACTGATGAAACCGAGAAGGACTAAGTTATTTAGAATGATCAGAACTCATTTTCAGACTGAAAGTCTTGATGTACTAGGGGAAGAGGGCAAAAATGGTACATTTCAGCAGTTTGCTTGCACAAAACCAGACTTAATTCTGCTCCACAAAGTATCTAATCCAGCAGAGACTTTAAATGAAGGACATCAGTGCTAAACAGTAAGTAGATAATTGTGTACATACCTCTCTGATCTAAAAGAGAAAGTCTAGAAATAGCCAAATTTCTTACACTTTCTACACATTTTCAACAGCGATACTGCATACATTTGTGAGATTATTCTACTCTTACATGAAGTAGCGGAGTAAAACTAACCCCTGAAGTTATGAGTGGAAAGTTGACTAAAAATGGCACTTACACATGCACACACCAGTTTCTGATTTGTTTTATTCACACACTTTAGTTACTGTAAGCCTTGCAAACAAACTGCAAGACAGCCAAATTTGTATTCTGTGCAACTTTGCTCAAACGCATGTTTTTGTTATTTTGTACAAAGCAGAAGATTCCTCTTCATCTTCTTCTGCCACACTGCAGCAAAGTAAGAAGTCTTCTATGTACCTGTAAATTATGACATTTATGTCTACTTAAGTTACTTTTACAGTTTCTAATTTGCTCACAGCTCCATTACAAGTGAAGTTGAAAACATTTTTAAAAGACCAGTAAACCCATCAGACTCTCACATGCAAGTTCTTGCAACTTATGAAAATAAATTCCTTTGAACTGACTAGCAGTCCAAATTAAATACCAGATGTGGTGTTTATAAAGCAGATATTAAGAATTCATATTGATTCCTTAAGTCAGCTAAGTGGTAAGAGGAAAGGTAAATCCTCACTCCAACCACATTTGAAATTCGATCCCCTTCTGTATGACTGCACACTATATATTCATGTCTACAACTTTAAGGTTAAACAGTACTTTTTTAATTACACTTAGGAATCTATATCCCCATTTTTAAAACAAGTTCTTTTACAGTGTAAGGAGAATCCACAGAGTGGATTCCTTCAAACTTCGCATTCACACCTGAACAGATTAAGAAACGTTTTGAAGCAGTGTTGAGTAAATAATTTTGGTAAGCTGTAACACTGCCACATGCAAGGTATACTGTACTATAACAGCTCCAAATCCTTTATAAAAACCCAGCATTCCTTCTTCCCGTTTTATAGTATTTATGCAGTCTCTCATTCCCTCATACTGAGTATTGATCGGAAGCACTTCATAGCCCAGGTCTGTATTGTCAATTATTGTGCGTGTCCCCTGAATATGAAGGCGGTGTAAAACTGTCTCCAGTGGATAAAGCATGACATCCGCACAAAGGCTAGCAGCAAAGCTAGCAATAAGTTCTGGAAAATACGCATCCAGCATGCTCTGCACAGAAGTGGAGCTCTCACTTGGAAGGTTGTGGGAATTATCCCTTTTCAGAACAAACAAAACAAGCTTCTGGACAATGGAACTGATGACATAGTGAAGAACTCCATGTAGAGCAGTTGGAAAAGTCAAGACCATCAGAGGAAGGAGACGTTTGCTATGGGGTACTCCCATGCCTACAACTCTGCCGATTCCTTCTTTCACGCAGTCCAGTATGCCAGGATTGTCTCGAATTATTTCACTCTGCAAGCACAAAGGAACAGTTACAACTTTTGCTGCCCATTTCACAACAATGCTGACATCCATTTCGACACTTTATCACTGCTGAAGTTTATAAGAGAGTTAGACCTTTCCATGCTATCATATCTACACAGCTATACTGATATAAATTCTTTGGTCTAACTCTCGATAGCGTTCAAGTAAACTTGCTTTTAAGAAATGAATCTATCTTAAGGAGTCTTTATTTAAAATTCATTCCAGTTATTTCTGTTACTACCAAATAAAATCAACTTTCAGCCTACTGCTGAAAGTACCAGTCTGCAAAAAACAGTCACGTACTGAAAATGCCTACTTCTGGAGGAAAATGCCAGGAAGTATATAGCTAATTTAAAAGTCTTTTTCTTTGAGGAGTACAACCCTAGTCTTTGAAGTTGAATGTGCATATTAAAGACTTCCATAACTAAGCTGAGTTGATAGATCATTTTTGATTTGAATATAATAGGTTCAGCTCTGAACACTTCCATCCCATTATTTGCATCTAAAATAGCACACTTTACCCATGCTGACTCTTAGAAAAATCAAAGAGATAATTATTTTGTTCATGCAGTGAAAATACAGAATTCGCTGAGTAATTATTGACTTCATTATACTCCACCTACAACTGTATGAATAAGCTAAAGACACTGTTTCCCCTTCTAATGCTTACACAAACTCAGTGTTTTATCATCTCTGTTACATCCAAAATTCAGGATTTGGGAGTTCTCCTCAATGCCTAAGTCTGTTGAGTCTATGCTGGCTGTCCTGACCTCATGCCAGGATAAACCACCAGAACATTCCTCAGTACTCTGGGGAAGGACTAACAGCCTGCAAAGACTTCCTGGTCAGTCTGCGCAGAAGAGAAACTAGTTCAAATACTTGAGAATATAACGTTCCAGACTTCAAGTATAAGTTAAGCATCATAACCCCTACTGAATCCTCTTCTCCACCATATCATTATGGTCACTGCATTTCAAAACCGTGCCTGTTTTTGTCAAACACGCCACCATGTGGTCTGAAACATTAAAAACAGTAACAGTAACGTGACAGCTACAAGTTTCTACCATTTACAGACATTTTGATGAAATATATTTACTTGTACAAGTGTGTCAAACTAATACTTTTGAACAGTATGTTTTATCAGAATTAAGACATTCAAGCTGTTAGTAACGAGTCACACAGTCTTTAACTTTTATAGTTTGCTATTGATCATTGTCCTCTTGCAGCACAAGAATATAATGGAAACCTGGTAAGCCAAGCTGCCTCCCTGCAGTGATTGATACAACATAAATAAAATCTTCACAAATTCTATCATCACCTCTGTTGTGTTTTTAAAAAGAAAGTTCACGATGATGTTTCCAGGAACCAGAGAATACATTTCATACAGCATATATATGCCTATTCAGTAAAATAGTTGCACACAGTGAACCTACTAAGCCTAAAACCCTCAGATCTCAGTAGAATTATTTTCCTAAGCAATGCTTTACAGAGATGATCACCTTTCTAAAAGGCTAGGGGAGATGCTGCTTTGGGCGTTTCGTTTTCCTATTAAGCTGCTTTCTAGCAAAGAAACTTTACTACTTATTTTGCAAACAGCAGACAGGCTCTAAATCATGTTCACTTTTATCATTTACTGGTAAATGTGTTCCCATGTCCAACACCATGGACAACATTCTTTCAGACAAAAATACAAGCAGTAAGGTACCTGAATAAAACATTTCATTCTGTGGCCTGCTATGAACTCGAGACATGAACAGTGTTCTACCACTGTTTCTAGTTCCAGCATCACAGCATGCTCAGGGTAAAGCCTATCCCCAGGACATAAGTTTCCTAAGTCAGCTTCCCAGTATGAGACCAATCAAATCTTCCCAGGGCTTCCACAAACTCAGAGTTAAACTCAGGCTGGATTTACGAACATTATTTTCAAAACAATTCAACAGAAGAGAGGAAGAGGGTTTCTTAAATAGAGAGTAACTTCGAGAATGCAAGTTTGTTGTTGGGAGTCTATCTGTATGGCCCCATGCATAGACATTTAACCTCACCTGTCCTGTTGGTCCATAACGTGGCCAGTTCAGACAGAAGAGCCTTCCTAGTACCTTGTAACTCCTTTAAGTTTGCATCCCCTGCACAGAGCAGAATCCTGTCCTTTAAGAGTACCAGCCTCTAAAGTACATGCTGAAACTAAGAAACTGCAGAAGTCAGCCTTGTTTGCCTCTTCTCCACAGAAAATGCACCATTTTGCAGACATACACCAGCGGTGGAGCTGTAGGTTTAAACAGCTGGATCCAAATCAGTCCTGACAGTACTTACAACTTGTCTATGCTTTGAATTAAAATTATTATTTTGATGACTGAATGGCATGAGTGACTATCCTGCACCACACCCCACATGAGAGCTCGTTTTACAGTAAGAGTTGTAGTAGTTGCACAAATATACTACCATGTTAATTAAGAGCAACTCACTATATAGACATAACTGGAAGAATAACTCTGGACCACTTCTGCATAGCTAAACCCTGTCTCTTTTGCCAGGAAGAGATGCAACAACTCACAGAAAGACAATCTGCAATACAGTGCTATGGGTTACTCTGTACAATTATAGCAGTTAAGCTGTATCCTAAGTGACAGATCCCGATACTTATTTTCATGGCTAAGGAAGAACTAGATGAAAATTTCAAAAACAAAAAGTTGACTGAATTAAAGCAGTCCTGTTATAGTACAATTCAGTATTTTAACAGAACAAAATTGAATTACTAGAAAAACTTTATAGTTGTTATAGAGGAAAGGGACACTGCAACAACTTGCCTAGCAAGTTTTAAAACCTTAACACAAGCAAAACTTCTTTACAGTTTATCTGCTAGAACCTATATGTGTAACTTGTCCTTATTTCACAGATAATGTATTCCAACTATGTTAAATGTCCATTCTAAATCTAGATTTAGACTTAAAATAGTAAAACTAATATACCCCTCATAGTAAATAGGTTTTATCTCAGTTAATAAGTCATACAGCCTCAAGCAAAACAAATGCAACTAGTGCATCACAGACCCGAATCCAAAGCCAAAGGCTCACTTCTCCATATGATCCAATCTATAAAGAGAGTAACAGTATCTTTTCAAATGTTGTAAATATGTAAGTTACCTGTACAGTTTCAATCAGGCTTGCAGAATAAAAAGGCATTGCTATCACATGTGTTAAACTGTAGAAATTAACAAGATAAGGGTTAAGGTCATGACAATACTATAATTGTAGCCAAATATACACCTGAAAGTTGATAAAGTTATCTACCAAGTCATGCCTGACAAAGTTAAACCATCACTCAATTATTAAAATGCACATCAATAAATTGAGATAAACTTCAGTCTGAAGTGACTGTGATCGGACTGATTCAGGTGTCTCATATCATAATCTAATGACTAAAAGAATCTAATAATTTAAATTAGTCAGGTTCCATACAGACACAGGGATCTAGTAAGAGAAACTAACCTGTTAAAGTGGTGTATGCAATCAAGATTTTTCAAATTTTTGGGTTTTTGAACATTACTATTAGCACCCTGTCAAATAACCACAGCTGTAGATTAAACTAATGTACATTTAGTAGTTTTACTAGTGTTTAGATAATAAGACATAGGGTAATAACACATGCCATACTCACCCTTTAAGTAGAAGGTGTCCACCTATCTGCTTGAGGTTCCATTTATGCGAAAGCTCCCTAAAAATAAAATATTTACCGTAACATGGATGATAACACATCATTCTCAAGCATTTCTTCAATGGGTGTCAACATCCAGTTTTCATATTGGTGTTCTACTATCAGTTTACATTGCAGGATTTCCCATAGTGGAAAGACATATCAGCTACACATTTAATAAATCATGCTTTACTCTTCAAAGTTATTCGGGTCTGTTAGATATTCTACCAAAAAAACTTCCAATTATTAATAAGGTGTCTGTAGCTCTCACAGCTACTGGCTTTAGCATTCCACACTGATTTTGAATCCTTATGTACTAACTCTTAAAGCCATTGTCAGGGAATATTGGATTATTTTAAAATCTCAATAGTTTTCCTTTATCAACATATTTTTTTTTAATTATGTTTTGGTTTGGTTATGCTTTTCCTGTTTTTTGAGGTTATGTTTACCCAGTTATTGTTTCTTTCCTGAAAACCTAAACCACACTCTGACACAGTTAGACAAGATCAAGTACAATCCATCACACTAGAAGATGCATAGTAGTTCTTTACAGACTTAAGCCTTTCAGCTTATGACCAATCTTTAGCAAAAACTAGTAAAATAAAACCTATGTGTTTAACACAAAGGTGACTTTAAAAAAAAAAAATCCCCTTAAGGTGGTATTTTTTAGTTACACACTTCAAAATATGAACAGTGAACGTTAACTGCACTCCACTTGACAGAAAACGTAATCCCACCTAGCTCAAGATAACATTCAAATACCAAACATATTTACCATACATTTGGTAAATACTCTAGCTATGAGATAAAGATATTTCTGTCTGAAATGTTGGACACGCTAAACTACTCATTTTTAGTAACAAACTATGAAGCGTTCAGCTTCAATTCTTGTCTAGGAATTGCACTCACCCACTGCTGTAGTAACAACTCTAATCCAAGAAAGGAAACTCTACTTTTTCTGAGGAACTGTGTTACTAGTAGATATCACTTTCCCAAATACATGTCAGTCACTGAAGAAGAAGGGAAGACTATTTACCATTCCGTATTTCAGATACTTGGATCACATCCAATGAGCCATATTAAAAAATGTGGAAAATGAAACCTGCCAAACTAATGTGTGAAAGCCTAAGCTGTCAATCCACTAGGTATAACTATTCCTGCAGTGGAAGAACAATTGTGGAATGTGTTTGTTTAGTACAGAACCACATTCAACTTGCCACAAAAATGTTAACATCCGTTTCTGGACCCCTCTCCAAACCCAGGGGGATTCTTTGATGATATTATGATATAGAATTGGAATTGACATCCCACTTCCTTGTGTCCTTTGGAGCTTGATAATGTAGTTAAATAACCTTTTAAATCAGATTTGCCAGCACTGCTGCTATAAGCAATAACCTTCACCCACTTGTGACAGCCCAAACATGTGCTACCATCAAAAAGGTAGGGAGAGCATCCAATAGAAAACTGCATGGAGTGGTGCATGTACAAGACAGCCATTTTAGCCAGATCACTTCCCCAGTCCAGTTCATTTTGTGATTGCGTATTGTGTTGGCACAAGGACGGGGAGGAATGAGAAAGGAATGAGCAGGTACTAGCAGAAAGGATTGCTTCTTTTGGCAGCAGCACCAGATTACTTTCCAAGCTACTGACCAACTCGTCTGCAAGAAGAAAATCCCTGCTCACACTGGACAGAAATCAGAACGATGAAAATATAAACACTGTATCACATCTCATGAACTTAAGCACCCCCTACAGCAGTATTTAAAAACAAGAACATGTGACACTCGGAGAAGAGTGTATGCCTGGGAAATTAAGTTACATACAAGACAGAGTTGACCAAAAAGCTTAAATACACGCTCCACAGAATTTAAGCATGAATGATTTTGACAAATGTCAGAACCTGCAAAGAGTTACTTTTATTAGTATGTGTGCACGCATCATAACAGTAGTTGATTCAGCCTGCCTGTACTTTCTTATCTTTAAAACTAGGTCAGTTTCTATGACCCTTCAGTACTTTGTCTCTGTCCACACATGAAAAATAGGTACTTGTCTCTTCTAAAAGCTAACACAGTTCTCAAGCCCACTGGTCAATTCAAACCTAACTAGTCTTCACGACAACTACTGGCCTGCCTCCCCAATGTATTACCCAAGACAGGCCTTTATCATTTTACTGACTTCAGTGTGTGCCCTGCAACTGTTAAGTATCTTTTCCTAACTTTTGATTATCTCACAGTCTGCCTCTGTTTTTAGTTACTTTATATAATAAACTCTCTCACACAACTTGTTTGCTCTTAAAATATCTGTAACAAAACTGACGACAAGTATTATTAGAGTTGTGAGCCCCTACTGTTTGCTCTGGACCATTATAAAATGAAACATGGATAAAACACTTTCAGACCAAAATTCTTTATCAGACTTGTATCTCAAAGCAGAAAGACATCACAGTATTTTACCATAATCCTGGAGTTATAGTTCAGCATAAAAAGCAGAAAGAGTCACAGATAAAAATAATAAAAAAAAATATTACTGAGCTACTATGGCCGAAGATAGGCACAGTAAAATAGAATGGTGGATATCTCTTTAAATGAAGTCACTCATTTCTAGTTGTAACCCCTTTATTATGAGAATACTGAACAATGTACATATACTTGTTGGTAAAGGAGGACAGAAGACAAAGCTGACAGCCACATAGACCCTTATTTACCATGTGTCCTCATTTATTAACACAGGCCATTCTATTCTCTTACCTATCAAAGACAGTGAAAATGTTCAGCAAGACGTCAGTGCTGGCTCATTAGCTGTGTAAATTTTCTGTATGTAGATTAATGAAACTAGGACTTTTTACTTTAGACATGGCATTTGCTAGTACCACACAATACAAACCAAAATACGAAAAGAAACTTATGAATTCTTTTACTACACTGGAGTTATACTGAAGACCATTTTGCTATGTTATTTCTATACTCAGACCAGAAGGCAGACATTCAAAACTTACAAGCCTCCCAGAGTCTCTTGCTATTTATTAATTACAATGTCTTGGCAAAGACAACCACACTGTGCTGAAAAGACCTATTCAATGTCTGACTGTTCTAGTCAAGTCGAATTTTTCAAAAACAGCCTTCTATTTCTAACACTTTGAATATAAGTCAACAACTGATGATTAATTTGTTAGAAGCAGTAAAAAAAAAAAAAAAAGCAATACCTTGGCAAAGGTGTAAATTCACTGATGATGCCTTCTGTTCCCAGGGTTATGCCCTGAACAATGAAAGTGCTGCCCATTCCTTTCCAGAGAGCTCTTGGACCCTGTGTTTTGAAATATGCAACATATTTTGATTCTTGCAACACAAAACTAAAAAAAAAAATAATCTTTTAATCTTACTATTTTTTATGAAACTTCAGAAAATTCAGACCGCAAAGGACTACAATTCTACCATTAAACTTCACTATCACCAAATTCAGGAGACAACTAACTTTTCAACTCTGAAGAAATTTTTGTTCTTCAGTAATTTAAAACAGTTGTCAACAATTTTGGATGCATATTTCTCACTGTTAATACTCTGTACTATAAACTTAACGCCATTTTCTGTGGACAAAATGAGCTCAAGATCTCAAAACACATCGGAAAGAAATCCAGAAAGTCTTTTCTTATTGTCTTCTGATATGAGTTTCAGGATTTCCATTCCGATGCAGAATTGGCAATTCATGCAATACTATCTTTGGAAGTAGTCATTTGTGTGATCTCTTTACCCACATAAGGATTACTTATTTTTCAGAATCCTAATGAAAAAATAGTTTCAGGGAACTTTTGCTTTCTAACATCTGCAAACCTTTCCCAATAAATACTGTTCTTCTTAAAAAATTATTTAAATAATTTACAATGATCTTCTTGAAACATTTCTGCAACCATAAAAACAAACCCTTACAATGGCCATGTTTCTAACCACCGGTTACATAAAGATGTCAATGTACATATGTGCTATAGTAACCTTCACTGTTCAGATACAGCCTGACAGCAAATACTGACCTGTGTCTTATTGATGCTGTACATAATATTGACAATAGTAAATGGAGTGAGATGATAATTCCGAGCATGATAGTTGACCTGTTAAAAATATAAATAATTGCAGTTTTATAAACACACTTGCAGATTGTACAACTCTAAATGAAAAAGCACTTACAAAATAAGCAATTTATCTCTGTAAAGGTCAGCTAAAGTGACCAGAATATGAATAAACTCTCACTGAAATTTAGGGAAAAAAAAAATGAAAAGAATAAAGCAAGCATGAACCAGAAAATACTAGAAACAAAGCATCCTGCTTGTAAATGGGGATCTGGAAGTTGTTCCACAGACTCTGAGACACTTACTGTAATTCATTTTCCACTACCTTAACAAAGATGAGTAAGAATGTTGAAGACAAGTTAAATTTCAGAATGGAAAACTTGCACGCTACAAATACAAACATATTAATGAGCAGTGTCTCCCTAAGTATTGTAAAGCTTCCTTATACTCTACAGAGTATGAAAACACAGAAATATCAAAGTACACAGGAGCTCTGACTGGAAGAAGTAATATAAAAGACATACCTGACACTGACGACGTAGAACAATGCAAGGATGTGCCAACACATTTTCTGTAAATAGGCTTTAAAAGAAAAGGGTATTTAAAGCATAGGAAGCCATCGTAAATTTAGTAAAACAGTCTTGTTATTTTTCTCTAACGTTACATCAGTATTTGGAAAAGCTATACATTATCTAATGAATTAATGAGGCATTTTGAATGGCTACCTGATGGTCTGCCAATACTATAAAGGAACAAATATCAAAGAACCTGACACATACGTTCACTATGAAAAAAACCCCATATATATATAGTATGTATGCATTTTTATAGGCAAAACAACGTACCAGATTTCTTAAACTTTCCCTTTGTAAAACATTAGGGAACAAAAAAGGCCAGAAGCAGAATTAGGGAAGGATTAGTTTCCAGTGTTATGTTAATCCCACATACCACATTATTAATCAAGACTCTCCTTTGGAGGGCCAGAGGACTGGTAGTAACAGCTGACTTTTTTTTCCACCAGAAAATGCTACTGCCCAAAACCAACTCTCCATCCACCCCTAGAAATGTTATTTTGATCAAACCTTCATATTAAAGTTCTCTCAGTTCTAAACTAGGATTCCAGGTCACATCCATGCAGAGAAACTTTTCATTTCATCTCAAAGTGCCTGCGTGATCAGAGTACTTACCTGTATGTGGTTCAAACTTGGGATATGGATTAGAAAAGCAAAACCTCCAGGCTTTCTCTAAGCATCTCAAATAACAGCTCTGACCACCAACCCAAAGGATCATCTGATGTAGGTCTCTTATGAGAATTTTACTCTGGATAAACAAGCACTAATTGGCACAGAAAAGTACTGAGCCAGGAGTTTCATAACTATTAAGCTAATTAGTAGTTTGCTACTACCAGAAGAGGTTAAACTTTCCCTGTGCTCCAGCTGCTATCTATTAAGGCCACCTGGTAGCCAAGTCACCTAACCTCATGAAAACCAAGGTTTTATTTTGGGTGTTTTCTACAAGATTTCTGACTTGAACCAGGTGTGTCTGACAAGCGATCTGCTACAAATGTAAAAGTAAAAGCAGGGAGAATTGCTCTCAGCAATGATACAATGTTGATCAGCTCTCTTTCCCAAACCTACATACTCATTTTAGCCCTAGTGGTATTGGTGCTCAGAATGTGGAAAACTGTCATGCTTGATTAAATCAAATCATATAGTTCAAAAGGACAACTGAGCCCCACTAACATATCTCTGCTTCTGAAGGAGATCAACATATTTATGCCCTATGGCTCCACTTGTTTCCTGGTACTCTCCTGAGCTCATTCACCTTGATAAGGTTGGAAAGCAATCTAATAACTCTTCCAGGCTTGGGGAGGGCTAGCTCTTCCCCCTTCCCCCATCAATTCTATTTTAACAATGTGAACAGGCTTATCAAGGGGTCTGAATGACCTAGCTGAGCCACTATAAGGGAAGCAGTGGGAGAAGAGGGGTAGGCAGATGGGCTGATCTAATTTAAGAAACTCATTACTTGCCAAAAATGGTCATTCCTAGTTCTTCTTTATATCCCTTCCCTTTCTCATCCAGTTAGCTGGTGCCTACTGGCTTTCACAGCTAGTCAACTCCAAGGTAAATCCACCTAACTGAAACAAGAAAAAAATAATCCAGCTTCTTCATTGATTTTGTCTTCTGTTTTAGTGATGCAAACTGGTTAAAAGAGGTTCTGATGGGACATCAAGGGTGGTAAGAATGGGGTAAGTAGCAGGACAGACTAGAGGTCAAGTAAAAGGTCCTCCCTCTTTAAGTAGAGGTACACTTTAAGAACCTCAGCTGACATAGCTTCTTCCCATGTTGGTCTAACTGCTTAAGTGATACAGGTACTCTCATGTTCTGAAGAGCAAAGCACTTTTCTCTGAGAAGACTCACATTCAGGTCAACAAGGAGTAAACCTTCTTTTAGTCCTAACTTTTTCAAGACAACCCCCCCCCACCTTCTACCCTTTCACAAGTTGCATCACTACGTTGACGAAGAAAAACCTAATCGGGTGAGCAGGCATCCTACAAAAAATCCAAAGCTTATAATGATCTCAACAATTTAAGCTGTGAAAATGTTACTAAGCATGTTAAAGTCCATCACTTTCTCAAAAATACTATCAATAATCAGTGTCACCATAATAAAGAATAAAATGATTATCAGACCACTTGGCTAGATCAACATTACTTTTCCTGGATACTTTTAAAATATACTTGACATTTTCACTTTCTTGGGAAACACTCACATTACCCAAAAATATTAATGAAAGCGGCAAATGTGGAAACAGCTTTCTGGTATTATTTTCAGATTGCTCTGATAGGGTACACATATCCTGGGCATACCGTACAAACCCCCCATTTCTTATATTCACTGCTGATCAAGTAATTTTGAGAAACCCTTCTGTTAAAAGGAATAGAAACCCATATGGATTTCAGGTAGTAGGTTCCTAAAGGCATTTCAACTGCATAAGTCTACTGGCATAAAAACACACCACAGAAGCATACATAGGGATTATAAGACAACTATAGCTTTACTACTTCATCATCACTGAAAATTATTACACAACTCTTACCTTGCAAGGCCAATACCAAAGCCTGCAAATCTGTTCAACTGCTCTGAAAAAAAAGAAAACAGATTATACAGCAGCGATAATCACAAAGTGGGAGAAAATGCCATGTAGATGAACTGAAAAACTAATTTTATATTGTACTTGCTTCAGAAAATTACAAGCACTTAGCCACAACATTTATGGCAACTCAGCAAGAGAGGATATAAAAAAATATTCCCTCAGGAATATTTGCACTTTGGACTGCATTTGAGTTTGTACATACTTTTATAAATAAAATTATTCTTGTCTTAAAACAGCTGCAGGGGAAAAAATAAAAAAGAGACAAAGTGAATGGTAAACCAGAGTATTTTAATATCTAAAAAAAAAAACTAACTCAAACCAACCACTGAAAAAGTTAGTGTATGCAACAGTTCACAATAATTCTGAAACATAAATTTAGATATCTGAAGTGAAATTAATTTTAAAAACACACACAGTAAAAAGAGAAACTTTGGGAAAAGTAACACAAAACGCTAATGATGACATAACAAATATCAACACAATGAGAATTTTCAAGTCAGTTGTTTAACTCCACTCCTTTGCAAAACTAGAGAGCTGTTAAAACTGCAATGAACGTTCAACTGCAATGGGTTCAATCCTCTGTTGTCTGGTACCAGACAGACATCTACATATTGGGAATGATCAGAAGAGATTTTAAGAGTAACTGAACTGTAAAGGCAACTGCAAATTCATGCGCAGCCCTACAATCTACAGGGTGCAAGCAGGCTGTAAGCATGGGTAATGTCAGTAACTTCAGTGGAGCTCCACACAGATGTGGCAGCCCTCCTAAGAGGAACGGTAAGACTCTCTCCACTTGCAGAAGCTGCACTTAGCGATACAGTAACTCCTCATCAGTCCTCAAAAATGCAGAATCAACATACCCTCCACACGTAGACAGGACAAAAAAAAAAAAAAGTAGAGTCCAAGTATGTAAGAATATTTAAGTAGTACTTTACGTAATGCTTGCATGGATGAAAGTCCAGCTAAGGGTTGTACTCACAAGACCTGAACAAAAACACTGCACTACAGCTTAAAAAAAAAAAAGACTCATCATTCAATACAACGTGATTTTTAAGTGTTTCATAAAACTTTTGATACTCAAGTGTATACAAACAGCACCAGAACACCATTTTAATTAAAGGAGATACTGTTCAGTAGCCTAGATTTAGCAAGTTTTTCTCAATTCACCTCAATTTCACAAAGACATAAAGCAATACTGTACTTCCGAGGGTTTCTGCTCAGTTTCCCAACAACTACTGGTAGAGATTTGAACATGGTTGCTCCCTCAAATTCTACCAGCTCCTCCACTATGATGCATGGAGGGAGCGATTTACTTCAAGCAGCTCATGCCGTACCCCTTGTTCTTTTCCAACGTGACAATAAAGCAGCCAGAAGACACCTGATACATCAGCACTGACACACTGTAAGACCCGAAGGTACTCCCTGCCCTTACAGAAGATGGGATATTTCTGCAGGATATCGTTTACACAGGCAAGGTGTAGCTGACCACAGGCTGCTTAACTAGAAGCCGCAGGGTGCGTTCTGGCACTCTCGATCATATTTGGGTGTAACTACGTGGTGCTACACCGCGAAGCGGCTGCTGGAGTGCAACAGGCGACGAACCGGGTTCTCTTTCTCCTAAAGGATTTTTCGCCCCACGCGCCCTTCGCTCCAGAATCGCCATCCCGCGACTGCAACGCCTCCCCGGGCCCGGCGCGGCGGAGGCCAGCGCCAGCAAACCCGGGCGGCGCTCGAAGGGGCGCGGCCAGGCCGCGGTGCAGCCCATGGCCGCCGCCAGCTCGCCCTTGCC